AAACCGCTTCGGCAAATCGGCGATGTAAACAATGACGTCACCGGTGGATTTTTCCACCGGTGATATTTGGCGCGCTGCAAGTGACAAAAGTCCTTTCCACAGAGGAAGCGAAGCGCGCCATAGAAGGGTCTGGAAAGGACTTTGGAAAGTCTACGTACTTATATACGGACCTGTTGCTTTTACTAGTGTGTGGTAGTTACCGATCATAGGATCTTGCGAAAAGGGTGCCAGGCATAATGGTCTGGGGGCCGCCGGCACCCTCCCCCGTCGTTTGTTCGATACCGGTTAGTAACTGAACCACTGCGGCCGCTGAACATGGGGGCAATGGGAGCATGTGAGCATGTGGTCCCCCATTTCTTTAAAGTTTTTGTTAAGTGCCCCATTCAAAGAATGAAAATTTCTTGAATGAACGCCCTCTTTTGCTGGAAAGAAAGTGACCTTAGTATAAAAGACTCAATCTAGCCTATTAAAACGCTAACATACGGCGTTCTAGCGGCTAGCACGAGGTAGCAGTGCGTTTTGTGCTTTTTATCTAATTTATAAAAATCTAAAACTATATACCTTTACTACTTGTTTATGTCATATCAAATTTAAAAACACGATTAAAAACCTAAATTAAACTATTTTATAAAGTTCTAAAGTTTAAGTTTATGCTAGGATACCAGCTATTTCGCCATTTTGTAGGTACCTGTCTACTTTCTGGTCCGCCTTCATTTTAACCAATCAAGTCACGATCCAAAAAATCTCGTAATCTGATTGGCTAAATGAAGTGATCCGTTAATCCCACCAAGCTTGGAACTGAGTTTGGTGGTAAAATACTAAAATGTCGAGCTACTTCGTGCTTCGTCCCCAAGTCTTTATTCTGTGCCCAAGCGCTATAAAATAATGTGGCCCACAAGTGTCACAGCGAAAGTAACTGAGCCACGTAACTGCAACGGCAAAACAAAACAAACTCACGGGAAAATAAAGTTAATATTATTTCAGAACCATCCTCAGAGATACGAAAAACCAGTTTCATATTATTCTGACACTGCAATCGACCAACGAAAAATTCGTTGGCTCGAGCGGGATTTGAACTCACATTTTCCGGTATCTAGACCGCCGCTCTAGCGCTCTACCCATTGGCATTGATATCGAGTCAACGGGAATTGGTAGCGAGTCTTATCCAATTGAAGTTCAAATCCCACTCGAGCCAACGAATTTTTCGAATATGAAATAAAGTTAACTCACGCCTGTCACGGCAAAACGAAATCATAAAGTCACGGCAAAATAAAATTAATTTTAATATAATGACTCGTGGTAACTGGAATCAAGCCAGCCTGCCTATGATGTGGCTGGTTAACTTTTATTTCTATATTTTTAGGAGGGACTAGCAGTTTGCACATCATTTGACCAAACAGTTCGAGTTTTGATCGTCACCAAATTGAACAAAGTTTGATCATTGAATCAAAGAACAGTGAATAAAATACTGGTAAGGGCCGTGGCTTACATATGTCCGTGGGAATCAAGATTGATCCAAACGTGGTGGTGCTCGGCTCAGTCGCTCGAAAAATGAGGATCAACAGGCTGGTTCAACTTGATTGCTAAATGCTAAAGCAGCAGCATAGACATTGGTCATTGCGCTACTGTCCGGCTTGATCAGTTTAAGAGCGGGCGCATGCTTCACTTGCTAGTTGTAAAATAGTACTGAAATAAAAAAAAATCTTTGATAGCTTAGCAGTAAGGAACTTGCAGCTTAGCCTGAAACAATGTTATTTTCATGCAACATGATGATGATAAATTGAAAATTTGTAACGTACTTGCCCCTTGTATGGTTCATCGGCTTTTCACTCTATGGGATTGGGAGACTCCGGTGAAGAGTGGGGCCTTGACTTGAAATGTCTATTCTTATACATTCTAAGCTGACAAAAAAAACAACCCTAAGTGATTTAGAAATATAAATTACTACTAGTATTCCATGAAGAGTGGTTGTTCTACTAAGGGGCCATTCACAAAGGATGTCCGAGCCGAGGGGGGGAGGGGGGTTTGGAAAATCAGGACAAACTCGGACATAGGGGGGGGGGGTTAGCAATCCGGATGTCCGAAATTTAAAAAAATTCAAAAACAAATTTCTTTTTCCCTCTATTTTGAGCAGTCCTTCCCATTGTGAAATTGGCATTTTGACTATGCGGTTAACACTAGATTTTGTTTTAATTAGTAATTTATATGTTTTTGTGTTCACATTTACAGTTATAAAAAAGTTCTAAAAGTAAAAAAGTTTTTTACTCTTGATATATACAAGGTTGCGTGAGTTTTTGCGAGGCATGGCGGATGTCCGGGGGGAGGGGGGGGTCACTAATTCGGACAATGCCGGACAAGGGGGGGAGGGGGTGTCTGAAAATCCATCATTTGGCCGGACATCCTTTGTGAATGGCTCCTAACAGATTGATACTTTTTGCACTAAACTTCCAAAATTAAACATCGGGCCTATATTCGAGGTGTACAGGGTATCCGGGAAGGGAATAGTTTTCCGGGGATCAAATATCGGAGGGTATTTTATCCGTTTTACGTGTAATTGAGTCGTCTTACATCTCAGTCAGCGGATATTCCCATGAGACAAAAACAAAATATAAAATTATAAATGGTAGAACGAATAGAATGTAGTAAATGTAAATGAAAAATTCACAAAAAATAGGTTGTTTTCCTTTCTTGATATGTTAAGACAGAATGTCTAGTTCACTAACAGCTTTTGCCTATATTGAGAATGTAGATCGTGTTATTTCATCTTTATATCAGTCGGACAAAGGTGATGATACTGAGTCAGGTTTGGAATATTTATACTTTCTATTTCTGCCGTTTTGTGTTGATGTATCATGTGTTCTAGAATTGTTCATGTTGCAAGTAATTGTAGAGACGTTTGAGAGAAATTATGTTGCATGTGATGTTGGAAGCGAATCAAGCATATAAAGGCTTGACTTCAGTCAGAAGAATGGGTTAGCCAGCCTGCCTAGGTTAGCACTATTTTCCATCCAGCAAACCGCCTTACCGATTTTCTAAAGTCGTTTCTTTTTGGATTTGTTTATTATTTTGGGTTAGGGTTAGAGTTGCGGTTAGGGTTAGGGTTAGAGTAGGGGTAGGGTTTGGGTTAGTTACATAGCCATGCCATTTAACACTTTTTCCATCTTTCGAAAATGACGTCAGGTCAGTTTGCTGGATGGAAAATAGTGCTAACCGCCTGCCTATGATGGGGCCAGCAGGCCAGGCCAGTGTAGTATATACTGGTAATAATGTGAAATCTGTGTTTAACTATGACAGGACTTGATATTCTGAGAGGATCTCACTCTGGCAGATAAAAAAATTCATGCAAAGAGAGTGGAATTTGAAAAAAAATATTGGTGCAATTTAGGGGCCACATCCAGATTCAACTTGCCACACAAAATGACATTTTGGGTGGGTAGGTGTATAGAAAATACACTTCGTAGCTATAGGGGGTGTGACATCCCCTGAAAACATCTTTTCGGCAAAATAACGGTTTTATTGGCAGATCGTTTCTGTAAGCAGCGGAAATATTAGAGTGGTTCAGATGAAAAAGTAATAGTATTAGCAAAAATTTAGCTAAATTTACCAAAATTACGGAAAAAGTTAACAAATCTTGATATGTATGGAAAATTTCTGGTATGTACAGAAAAAATTTTTTTACGTATGAAAAAAATTTTGCGTTCCCCTGCTCGCCAACAATTTTTTGGGGAAAATATTAATTAGCGACGGAAATGTTGTTGGCAAATCTGATACTACACCCCCAGGGTGAATCTCTCAATTTTTCTGCACCGAAGATTTTTCGAATTCATGTAAAGCTGCGCCAAGAAAATTGTCGCGAAAAATATGCGGTTTTCGGAAATATCCAAAATTTTCACCGAATTTTCGAAATTTGGCTTTTCATTCTTCTCAAATCATAATTTCAAATATACTATTACATAAATGCTCAATTGCTTCACCAAATCTTTGCCAAATTGGTCTTTGGGATCATTCTGCACCAAATTGTTGCGCCAAATCAATATTTGCGATCAATCTGCGCCAAACTTTGTTCGAGTCGCTGTTCTGTGCCGAAGATCTTTCGGAAATACACCCTCAAATTCACTCTGGCTACACCTCTTTATCCTCTTCGCTACGGCCCTGCTGTTTTGACGTTTTCACTGTGGTAAAATGAATATTTTCACCAAGAATAAAATATTTCTCAACCTAGAGTGAGTATATATAGTCTTCAAAAAACAATGTTAATTAAAGCTATTCGCACTACCTTTTTAATCACAACATAGTATGTTCAGGAAAATTTCACTCTTGCATAGTTGATTGGCTTTGCACTAGAAGGTGTTGTTGGAGAATGGCTCAACAAATTCACATGCCAAAACGTGCCACACTTGACGTTTTCAAGGCTGGGTGGGTGGTTGCATGGGTTTAGAAGAAAACGTCAATTTGACAAATATTAGAGTGGTTCAGATGAAAAAGTAATAGTATTAGCAAAAATTTAGCTAAATTTACCAAAATTACGGAAAAAGTTAACAAATCTTGATATGTATGGAAAATTTCTGGTATGTACAGAAAAAATTTTTTTACGTATGAAAAAAAATTTTGCGTTCCCCTGCTCGCCAACAATTTTTTGGGGAAAATATTAATTAGCGACGGAAATGTTGTTGGCAAATCTGATACTACCACCCCCAGGGTGAATCTCTCAATTTTTCTGCACCGAAGATTTTTCGAATTCATGTAAAGCTGCGCCAAGAAAATTGTCGCGAAAAATATGCGGTTTTCGGAAATATCCAAAATTTTCACCGAATTTTCGAAATTTGGCTTTTCATTCTTCTCAAATCATAATTTCAAATATACTATTACATAAATGCTCAATTGCTTCACCAAATCTTTGCCAAATTGGTCTTTGGGATCATTCTGCACCAAATTGTTGCGCCAAATCAATATTTGCGATCAATCTGCGCCAAACTTTGTTCGAGTCGCTGTTCTGTGCCGAAGATCTTTCGGAAATACACCCTCAAATTCACTCCCCCCCCCCCCTCTTTATCCTCTTCGCTACGGCCCTGCTGTTTTGACGTTTTCACTGTGGTAAAATGAATATTTTCACCAAGAAGTAAATATTTCTTAACCTAGAGTGAGTATATATAGTCTTCAAAAAACAATGTTAAAGCTATTCGCACTACCTTTTTAATCACAACATTCACTCTTGCATAGTTGATTGGCTTTGCACTAGAAGGTGTTGTTGGAGAATGGCTCAACAAATTCACATGCCAAAACGTGCCACACTTGACGTTTTCAAGGCTGGGTGGGTGGTTGCATGGGTTTAGAAGAAAACGTCAATTTGACGTTTTGGGTGGCAAGTTGAATATTTATGGACGCGGCTCCTTAGGGAAAGAAACAAATTCCTGGAACTACATGGAATATACAGAAAATTCTTTATAAACATTTCTGCACAGCTTCTACACTGTAAAAAAATTGACAAAGCTCGATCAAACATGCTTGCAAGGAAAATGATCCCATCCTATCTACAGGTCCTCCCCTTGAATCAAATAAATAAATGCCATGTTGTCCTGTAAATCAATGGAATTTTAAATGTAAATTATATTTCAGGCACTGGTAGTAATGAAGAAGATCAGTGGGAATGGGAGGATGAAAGCCATGATCTCAAAGTTAGTAGCCTTCTGTTGCTTTATATTATTATTGCATTTTTGTTAGATCATTAGTCCATAATCATTCATGTGTGGGAGTATGCCCTTTGCAGGCACCATGGATGCCCACCTAGAGACCTTTTCAGCCCATCCCAAAAAACAATTTAAATGCCCAGTGGGATAATTAAATGACAGTAGTGTGATTGAAATAAAGATTTGGAGCTAAGAAATTAGACCAAAAATCTCAAAATTTCCTGGGGGCATTGTCCCCTAACTCCCATTAGCAATTATGCACCCAGACCCCTGTTGCAGTTTGTCTGGTGGCACTCATCTCCCCCCTAAATTTTTTGGCACTCCCCCAGAGCAAAATCTGAAAATCCATCTATGGCAGGCATTTTCACAATATTTAGTTCTCAAAACCTAAAATACAATGTATTCTGAAGTAAGATGAATTTTGCTTGTAGGCACCAAAATATAATATTGGTGAACCCTGCTATTATCCATTGCCAAATGTACGAGGATGGCCATTTTCTGCCCAAATTTTTAACCTGGCTAAAACTTTGTGCTGGAAATTACAGGATATAGGTTGTGCTTCTGCAGCACTAAAGATCATCATAACTATATTTTATAGTCAGAGGAAGATGAAAAGCAAGTAGAGGAAAAAGATGTTCAAAGTAATTGGTTACAAGATTGTTGTGTTGGTATTTCACCATGCGAGGACCTGATTGCCTTTGGTAGGGAGGACAGACTGGTTATCTTGACAGGTACTTGCTGATGCTAACTCAATGATATTAATAAGTAGCAGGGGCGTAAGAACAGGGGGGCCAGCCCCCCCCCCCCCAAGTTTTGGCAAGTGCCCTTTTTCCGGGAGCAAAGTGCCCTTTTCTTGCATGAAAAATGTCTTAAGGATTGCCTTTTTTTGCCCAAAGGGCACTTTTGAAAACTTGAATTTATGTTATTTTCCGAAATTTTTTTTCATTTCCCGAAAAAATATGATATATCCGGAAAATTTTTTGGTATACCCGAAAATTTTTTTTCATATTTAGGAAAATTGTGATATATCCGGAAAATTTTTTTTGGTATTTTTGGAAAAAATTTTTGAGACCTCCCCGCCCCCATATAGCATGTCATTGGCAATATTATATAATTTGTGTTAATCTTTTAGCCAAATGGGACAGACAAGCAACTTCAGAACCAAAAACAAAATTTCAAATATCTTGGACAGGCCAACTAGCATTAGAAGAAGGGTAAGCTATATTCTTCATATTAATTAATAGACCTTACCGATTATTCTCTTTTACCCAATGGCCTCATTTCCATGTTAACTTATTTTAACAAGTCAGGGGCAGATAAAGGTTATATTCCATATTCCACCTGATCTGTAATGACTGTTTGTCATCCGCTTGTCTGTAATTTCTATTGTTTCACTTTAGGGAATGTATTTCAGGCTTGCTTTGTCTTCCTTTGGCATCTCAACACAAGTAAGTGCAACAAGTTGTTTCAACAACCATATTTGAACTCATTCAAGATCACACAAGGTCATCTGTGTTAAAGAAATACACAATGTTCTTATACAGATGATCCAGTGGACGGCAATATTGAATTACTGCAATCAATGATTTTTTTTAAACAGAAGTTCTCAAGGATTTCCTGACTGGACATGTATAGTGGCTGGTTTCACTTCAGGCTATGTCCGTTTTTATTTGCAGGTAAATATTTCTTTAAAATGAAAGTGTTGTTCCAAACGTCCCATGCAGTTGAGTTGAGAGTGACGTTTGACCCTGTCTTGACTGATGGAGCTATCTAGTATAAATAAATTTCATTTTCAGAAAATGTGCATTATTTAACTTTTATGTAGGATGGCTCTCTATTACTACATCAGTTGCTTCACGAGGATCCAGTGTTGAAACTGAAATGTGAAACATGGCAGCCCGGTGTTTCACACACTGACTTTGAACAAGTTGAAGAGCTTGCCATTTTGTACCCAAGTGCACTGGTTTTGCTTGATGGCTTTAGTTTGTACCAGTCATTGAGAGGATGTAGAAATCAGTTAGCCAGAGGTGGGTGTAGGAAGTCTAAGTTTGGTGTTTATTTTGGATGCAAATTATCCATTTCAATGTTTATGCATACCAAAAAGATTGGAACGAAGAAAACAATTATTTTTTTAAAATTGCATAAACTTTGCTTATTCTTAGTCTATGTTGTATTTAAGTTAAATACTGCACGGAAAATTGGGGGTCACCATGCTTCTTTTCCAACTACACAATGAATAGGCTACTTTAGAGTGAATTTCATATGCATGTGTTGCCATAGTAACAAACTATGTGTTACCAAGACTGACATAATTTGAAAGAAGAAATATTAAAATAGATGAACATCCTGATATCTGCTGCACAAAACCTGCAAATATGATGTTTAATTAAAACTGTCAAACTGTTATACACCTGAAGTTTTTGAAAACTGTATTGAGCCTCCTTAAGTGGGACCTAAGATGTTAATTATCTTCTTTTTTGACTTGTGCTTTAGCTCAGGCAAGTGGGACAAGTGAAAGCATTAAACCACCTCCTCTAGCTTACAAGAAATGGAACTTTAAAGGACAGAAGAATATCACAGATATTGCCTCTTGTGGTAAGAATAATATTGTGATTATATTTATAGATCATCGTGCCAGAAGGTCCTTGACTCACTGACACATTAGAAATTTCCAGAAATATTTTATATTCCCTGTAATCAGATTTGCGTGCGTGATTTTCTCCCACCAGACCATAGAAAAAAACTCTAGGCCTAAGTGATTTTTTCTATTGCCAAAATTGACCTTCTGGGGCATAATTTCTCAAAAAAGTTTCCAGACCCCTAACTTAATCCACTCAACGGCTCGCAACGTACGCAGGGGTAACCGTAAATTAGTTTTGGTCACACAAAAATACTAAATAAACAAGTATAAAAGTTTCACTTGTTTTGCATTTCCAGGCACCGTTACTTCAAGTCTATTTGATCACCTTCAAACAGCGTCATTCATGGGCGGATGTGACTCAAGCATCCGGGCAACACCCCCAGCAATGTCTCAGTTTGTGACGTCAGGAACTGATCCGTTCATCGGAATATATTCTGCACTTGAAGGAGGAACACATCCACTCATATCTGAGGTTGCGTTCGAGGTTGCCACCAAGTTGACCTCTGCTGTTTTGTCAAAGTTGTCTGTCGCAAGGTGGGCATGCGTGAAGCAGTAAGGCCCATTTCCACTAAAAAAAATTTCCGCGGACAGAAACTTTTCCAAAAAATATCATTGTTAATCATAATTTTTCCGACGGAAAATTTTTTGTCGGCCAATCACATTTTACAAAATTTTCTTTCCGCGGAAAATTCTCCTGAGTGGAAATGGGCCTTTACTATCCCCCCAGCTAATTTCAGTTTCATCTAACGTACTGTTTCACTAATTAACCTTACACAACGCTTATTTCACTTCACTACAAAGCACCCTGCTTGTATCTAATTAAAATAAACTGTTGAGCATTGTGATTGGATGAAAGTATGTATACAAACAGCGAGATTTCGAGTTGGTTTTTGCGATGAGTGGAAAGGAACCTTTACGCTCATTTGATTCGGGCTTAAGACATATTTAATAAGGGATCCATCAGTCAAAGGCTTGAGTACAAATTCTGTATGTCTGACAATATTTTCCCGCTATGAACAGTGGTTGGCTGGGTTGGAGTGGAAATAAACCTGATACGAAGCAAGCACAAGACAAGTCTAAAAATAAACCCAAAGTGGAAAAGGGAACGTCACTTCCCTTGAGGTGAGTGTGTGGTACTTGTTTGGACATTAGTAATACACCATTTTCGATAATTACGTCATAAATCTCTTTTGGGCCTGGGAGCCTCGTTCTCATTAGGTTAGCACTATTTTCCATCCAGCAAACTGACCAAACGTCATTTTCGGAAGATGGAAGAGGTGTTAAATGGCTATGTAACTAATCCAAACCCTACCCCTACTCACCTTAACCACAACTCTAACCCTAACCGAATTAATAAAAAAATCCAAAAAGAAACGACTTTACAAAATCGATAGGGCGGTTTGCTGGATGGAAAAAAGTGCTAACCTTCTCATGTGCAAGGTGAAAAAGGTGAATGTACAAGGTGAATGAGAGCGAGGCTCCCAGGCGAAGAAAGTATTCATGACGTAATTATCGAAAAGGTGTATTGTATTGTAGTAAACTTCACTTTCCAATCAATTTAAACAGCTCTAAGGCACTGGGCTGTTCAATAAGCGTTGCGGTCAAGTTAAAAAATGTCAACACTTAAGTGTACGGGCCAGATCCTTAAGGGGCTCACTTGAAAGTTTGCTCAAATTTGTATGGAAGATTGTAATGAAAAAACCTGAATTTAACATGATAGTTTCTGATATATTTGCCTAAATTTTAGTGATTTTGCACAGCATTTGTTCGAATTCCCTTGGTTCCCACCAGTTGGTGCACGATAGCACAGAATACTACACAGAAGTCCATCTCCATTGTGTTTAGCGTAAGCTCTATTCGTCATGATTCGTCACTCAGCAAGTACCGTAAACAGAAGCAGTCACCCCCCTGGACATACGCCATTTTTAGTATTTCCAGGAGGGGGACTGCTTCTGTTTACGGTACTTGCTGAGTGACGAATCATGACGAATAGAGCTTACGCTAAAAACAATGTAGATGGACTTCTGTGTAGTATTCTGTGACGATAGTGCGTAGTGAATATACCCATTTACTTTATCTATTAACCAGATTCAGTATCTCGGACCAGCGACGAGAAGGCACCTCCATCACGCTTTCTCCAGACGGGAGATTGGCAGCCACTACAGATGAATTTGGACGTGTGATGTTAATTAGTATGACGGAGGGAATTGTGTTACGTACCTGGAAAGGTAATGGGACTATTAACAGCTGAGGTTTTGCTATGTTTGCTTGGCATTTATCCAGCACAGTTTCCGGGACAAATAGATGAATAGCATCGATTGTGAATAGTGCACAAGTAGATGATGATCATCTATCTAGGGGAAACTCTAATCTTAATCTAACCCTAATCTAATATTAATCAGATACTAATCTAAACTTGATTACCTTTTTTTTAAAGTTCCCACCCCGGCTCGACCAACCGGGGTGGGAACTTTTTTTTAAACTGCTGATTTATCCATATATTTAAATAAATTTTGTGATACGAAATCGTCAGTCCAATTTTGATTTAAACCAAAAGGATATATTGAAATTTCCACAGGATATCGCGACGCAGAATGCGCTTGGATACCGGTGCAGGAAGACCACACCGATGACGGCTCGGAGCATGCGCAGTCAAGACGTACAGCGCTGTTCCTTATCATTTATGCTCCTAAGAGAGGCATTCTTGAGGTAGGCATACATAAATACCACATGTCATGTTATGATAACTCTGTATATCCATAGCCTATCGAAGGGAAGATGGCTGTGAAATAACAATAATTAGAATAACAATATAATTCATTATCTATGTTAGTCAACGTTTATTCATAAATCTGGTCGTTTCACCGTCACGTGCGTATTGTATTTTTACCAAATCCACCAATAGCAATTTCCAGTTTCCCTATTGTTCGAGTCACGGATAGGCGGCTTTCCTAAAACATTGCTATTGGTTAGTTGAGCAAGAATACAATACACACGTGACGGTGAAGGACCAGATTTATGAATAAACGTTGACCAACATAGATAACGAGTTATATTGTTATTTTAATGAGTTTCACAGCCATCTTCCCTTCGATATAAGCTATGGTATATCTAAACTGCTGTTTCTACAAGTTCGGCAAAGACCATCCCTGATTGTGACAGCTTTACTACTATGCACTGTTGTTTAACTTGTAAAAATTATCGCTTTTCAAAGACTGTTCTTTATATAATAAACAGAAAAATACATGGGTGCTTGCGCTCACTCGTGTCGAGATATCATGTTCAACACGAGAAATAAATCTGGTATTTCCGCGCTCCCATGTATTATTCTCTATTTAACTTTTATCTCTAGGTGTGGACGACAGAATATGGACCAAGAGCCGCAGCATTTAATGTTGGACGGGATAGCAGGTATCTCTAGGCGAATAAGCTCTTTTCAACCAGGAGTAACTTCATGTACATGGAGAACAGTAGGATTTTCAAAACTATGGAAAAAAGACAATGGAACATTTCAGAACCATCCTCGGAAATACGACACTACTGCAGAAGACAACGAAAAATGTGTTGTCTCGAGACCACGAATTTTTCCTTGTTCGCTGCGGTGTTAGAATGATATGAAACAGTGGAACATTCTGGGTCACTTTCGTCACTGGATTGCACGCAAAAGGTTATCGTGCTGTGCAATGAACTACTCAACGCAACCCTGATCTGAAGGAATGTTTTCTAATTTATCATATTACTTATGGTAGGTTTTTCTATATTGGTCATCATATCCTTGGACTGAGTCATGTGATGAGTCAGACTAACGAAGCCAGCGGTAATCCTCTACGCTGTATACTACTTCAAGCAAGCGGCAATATCAGGATCCTTACAGTGCCGTTTCACTGTGCCTTAAGGTATGGGCATCGTGCATATGGGGATCGTATTTGCGCTATAGAAAATATTAATCTTAAATAGAACCTAATTAGCGTTTCTCACGCTCTGTTTATCCGCCATTTGGGGGATTTTTGCGAATTTTTTAACAATGTAGCTGTGTGTACTGTATAATGGTAATTTCACAGTTACAACTTTCAAAAGTCGCTTTTCACATTATTTAGACTGTCTAGATTCTCTAACGTGGGAAGACACTACCCCAAAAATGGCGGACATTGACCCCCTCGAGAAAGGTTATTGTCCCATGCATCGTATAAAATTCGAGTCGTTTCTAATGGATAATTAGAATATCCATGCCCCTATAGCTATAACCAACGATTTACTTCTGATTGCCAAGCTGAGGAGATTCAAGAAATGTCCATGCCTAAGGCCGGCAACCTCGTACCCAGGTTGTAGGGCCAGTTGTACACGAAATTCGTTTTATTTGGTGGATAAGTTCCATACTCCTATAGCCTTGTTTTATTCTGACTTATGTTTTTTTTTTCATTTCAGTGACAAGTACAGTCGACGTGTGAGAGACCTTCATCTTCTCAAGAAACTTTCCGCTGTTTTAGATCAAGTCAAACATGAGGAAGGTTTGTTCTTGGAGTTTTAATTATTAACAAGCTATGAGCTACTTCTTTGTTGACTTGGTAAATGACAGAGTTTAAGAAACGGATTTATTTTATGTCTTAAAGTTTTAAAAGGCAGAGCGCTGGAGAAGTTACAGACGTCGGTTTTAGAAATTTTAACATCTATCCAAGTTCCCGTTTTACTACAGCAGGTAAACACCGTTAATTTTCATGTAAACAATTTGTAAAACGATTTAGAAATGTGTGCTTTTGAGCTCGTCAGTGTTGTCAGTAATGTGATGTATAATGTTATTTACGTATTTTAGGGACTTCAGTGTGTTTTGTCGACTGTTGGTATTCCTGTCAGTCTGCTAGAAAAAGCTGTCACATCAGTATCGCAAAATATATCGAAAAAACGTAAGTGAAATAAACTAGCTACAGAAGGGCGATTTAAAAATGGACAGAAAAGAGACTAGGAGAGTTTAGACTAAAATGGTGTCCCTGCAGCTTTCGTAATTTGGATTTTTTACCGGCTGGCAGGTAACAACATTCTCAAATTGCCTCGGCATTTGCTTCGGCAGTTGCGGAGTGCCGAGGTGAATTATGACTATACTTCATGTTTCAGCGAATGTAAGTGACGATCATGAACACGAGGATGATTGTGATATCCAGGCGCTTGTGGACTTCACCAAGGTTCAAGAACAAATCATAAACATGTATACGACACTATGTGAGGAAAAGAAAGACTCGGCAAGCAAGGAGGATGTTGATGAAACTGAGATTATCGATAATGAAGAAACAGTCAAGGTAAGACCTTCTCCTCCCCCGTCGCCCTCACCCCCTTCACAGTGAACAAGAGCTTACTATTTGAACTAAGAGGTAAAGGTCCATTTCCACTCAAGAAAATTTTCCACCGACAGAAAATTTTCCGAAAATATCATTGTTAAAAGTTGAAAATTTTCAACTTCAAAATATTTTTTCTGACGGAAAATTTGTGTCGGCCAATCACAATTTTACAAAATTTTCTTTCTGCGTAAAATTTTCCTTAGTGGAAATGGGCCTTTAGTATTGGTTTCATTTCCAACTTTTCTTCTTCTTTCGTTTACCAGTGGCTGGCATCATTCTTGTCTTTGACAAGGTCAGAAGCGGGTGTTCTGTTGCAGTCGCTTGAAAACTACTGGGAACTTGTTTCCGAGACACAAAATTTGACGGAGAAAGCAAGTACTTCATGTGAGATGACTATAACGAAGTTTTTAAGTTGCTTCGAAGTCGTTACAATATCGCAGAAAAGAAGTGAAAACGAGGCAACGACGTCCAGTACGGAAGAACGCTCGCTGCGAGTGAGAAAGAATCTTTCTTCAGAAACGCTCGCAAAACTAGGTGGGTAGCAGCCTAGACCATTTGATAAGTATGACGTCACATGCGAGCAAGGCACCTTGCTTTCATTTCGCATGTGACGTCATTACCAAATGCTGGATCAAAACCTGCAAAAGCCAAATTATGTTTGTCAAATTTGATGCACATAAAATGTATAAGAAATGAAATGATTGGTTCTACGTGTATATAAGAAGCTCTCACTTCAAAAGTTGAATATCAGACTGTTGAGATTACCTTGAATTTTGTTGTCTTGTGTAAATAACTCAAATCTTGAGTTTACAAGATCGGTGTGTGTTTCTTCTTATATCGTACATTCCAAGCCTTAGCTTATTTGTAAATTTTTTCTTTGTTTTAGGAAACTTTTTGTACGAGGTAAGTCAATATATCAATTGCGTAACTAGTATTGAAATTCTAAATTTCACTATTTTTAACGTTCTTTCTTAACTATCGTCAACTGTTGGTATTTTTCTTAGGACACATTTAACGGTTCATTATCCTTGGAGAAACTCTGTTTGATCCTTGATAGCTCAAATATTCTTCCTACAGATTTTTTGGTATGCATCATGCAGTAATCAATAGACAATACCTATTCATTCTAATGCAAACTACATAGTCCCAATTCTATAGGGGGGTCTAGGGCCAGCCTTCCCCGAAAAAATAATTGAATTTTGGGTCTCTGAAATGGCATTTCCTGCATTGTGGAGGAATTTGGAGAAAAATGCAAATATCTTAATGAATCACCTTTTAACAGTGTCAAATATTGATTTTAGAATACTTGACGTCTAATTAAGTGGAATACATAGTCACACAGAACTTTATAGATCCTCTCCAGTTTTTCATCGAATTTGAACGAATCTACATGATGTAACATCACTTCAAAAGTACCTATCGGAAATTTATGACTGTGTTTAGGATTTGTTGATGTTGTACTGGCTATCTCAAGACAGGAAACATTTGATGAATCTCTCTGCATTGTCTTCTTTCCATCATCTTGTTTCGTCCATCAGCTCAATGAAAGGTACATGTAAATTAATTTTAAAACCTCAACCTGAATAGCACTATCAGCAGTCACAGACTGAGATCCTGTAAGAACCATCTCTAGTTTTATTACAGGAGGAAACGTAAACTGAACTCACTTTATTTATACTGGATAGCTTTGTCAGTTATAAACTGTTTTCCGTAGAGTTTCAGTAACGGCAATGTAGCACCAAAAATCTGCGGTTTTTGTTAGACAAGCTAGAACCTTTCTACTCGGTCATTATTTTGTATCCATGCCTCATTACCGTGTAGATATAATGCAGCTATACAAGTATTGTGTTGAATATCATTTGTCCAGGAATACAGACCAGACCAAGCACAGAAAGCGATGCTCATCCACCAATCACAGCATGGTGGGAGAAATTACGTCATCAGTTAGCTGAATCCGCAGTCACATCTCAAACATTGTCAGCGGCAGTGTGCTGTCGAAGTGTTGTTCTGGAAAAACAACTGGCTGCAAAGAAGCTTGAGCTGGGAGTATGTGCGATTTGTTAAGCTTGTATAATTTAAGTTATATTTATCGGGAAAACATGAGAAAAGAATTATATTAATCATTAAAAAAAGGGGCGGACCATTACAAAAATTATGGGAGGGAGCGGGGGGGGGGTTCTCTGGGTACTCCATTTCTCCCCCCCCCCCTCACCTAAAACTAGCCCTTCCACCTTAGATGTGCTTCCTGATGTTATTTTAAAATCGGCATGCAAAACTACAAGGATTTTTTCACCTTATATTGTTTGTCTTCAAGGATGGTCAAGAGGACACAAAAGAGAACGCTGATTGGGTATCAGTATCGTTAGAAATGGAACGTTGGAATTTACTTGTCAACCAATTGGAAGACATCTTGAACTTGGCCGTGTTTTGTTTGACGTTGGAGACTGGTAAACAATCACAGCCCAGCGAACAGCCTCGAGACTTGAGTAAATGTCAGCGACTTTTGACAAATGTCAACGTATTAAGTAAGTAAATAATATCAACATAGATTATGAGCGTAGACTTAGAGAGGAGTTTTAGCGGTACAGTGTAGTGGGTACATTTGCCTTTCATCTTTGATCCCTGCAATATTGAGGTTGGATTACTGAAGTTTGTCCAGGATACTGCGCATGTCCAAATAGAGTGGAACAACTTGATGTCCCAACCGGGAATCGAACTCAAGGTCTTGGTTTAACGTACCAGCGCTTTGACTAATATAGGCCAGTAGGCCGAGGCTGACGCAGCTAGGAATGATGGACAACGAAGCAATCCTATTTCCACGTCTGTTTATTCGATAACTTTGGCCGACGTATGAATACACCCTTTCAATAATTACGTCACACATACTTTTTGGTCCTGGAGCCTCGCTCTCATTCGTAAATTACCCAAGGTGATTGGCTCACGGTTCATGAGAGCGAGGCTCCCAGGCCAAATGACGTAATTATCGAAAGGGTCTATTGTATGCGACTAGTCATTGAGATTGGCCTTTCATTCTCCAGATATTCTTGACCGTGGTCAGTCGTGTATCCCAGAGATCGTTGCGAAATGTGTGGTCAGCCATGACATACCTCCCGATTGTCTTGGTCATCGAAATTGTAAGAAATCTTCTCGTTCTAAAACAACTAACGATGAAGATCGACCTGAAGAAATCATTGAAGAACCAAGTACTGATCAACTTTTGCAAGGTAGGGAAGTGTTTTGCTTATCACCATCAATATATAGGGTATAGGTGAAATTTCAGTTAGTATTTGGGGGGTAGGAAAAAGTGGTTAACATCGTCAACAGGCCACTTGTAGGAGCAAAAAAATTAAGCTGCTCTCTCGATTCCTGGTCAACGTAGAAATAACTCTATTTGGGCTAAGGCGTAAAAAAATACCTGTGGTTCCGGTTTCATATCGCGAAAAAATTAGGGTCGGTAGGTCGGAAATAATTTTTTTTTGAATATTTTTTCATGGTTTTTTCAATAATTAGTGTGACAACAGACGCCATTTTGGCAGCAGCCCGCAACTACCCGGAGAAAATAGGGTCGCACGGTCAATCGCGTTGAAAAAATAATAGGGTTGGCAGAAAAAAATAGGGTCGGTCGGGAACCGGAACCACAGGTATTTTTTTACGCCTAATACTATTGCCTAGTTAATTTCACCAAGACGTCCTGGTTAAATTAACTAGATTATGTGTTAGGTGGATAAACAACCAGGGTCTCCTGCATGTTGAAATTATTTTGCTGTTTTAGGTTTGCCTGAACTGCGAAAACGTTTTCCGCACAGTTTGGCTCAAGATATACTGTGGGCTCATTGCGTCCAGGAATATTTAAGCCAATGGTCGACAAACAAAGAGGTATAAAAGTTTTAAAGATTTCCCATTCATCACAAGAATGAACCTGAGAGACAGCATAGGTCACTTATACTCTCCTGACGAAGAATATACCGTAATCTATTAAAAATGTTTCCGACTGATAAAATACACGCTTCCGGAAATTACGTCACCTTGAGTATAGAGCCTCGTTTTCGTGATCAATACTGGGCTTTAGCTAATGTCACATACACGACAACGAGGCTCTATGACCAACGTATACTTTTCGGAAGGGTGTATTCGGGTTTCCTAAGTCGCTAAAACATTGATGTCACTCACTCTTCTTGGCTTAAAATGTGCCTTGTCTTTCAGGAACCTGACTTTTTACAAAAAGCTTTCAATCACGCGAAGTGTATCTGTGACCAACGTTTGCGACATGGTAAGTGCTAAGACAGATCACGTGCCTTGTTTTAGCGTTCTAATTGGTGGCGTCTGTTGTTCGCCCGACTGTTGCTTCATCAATCATGTAGGAAGACTTCTTAAGTGGGATGTCTATTTTTTTTTCAAAGGTTTATGTGTTCTTATGTGGGGTAAAGCGAAAGATTCGGTTTCCGCCATTACTGCATTGACGGAAAAGGTAAGTGGAAAATGGAATTTTTATGCAGAAAGGACTATGGAAGTGAAATGAATGAGAAACTTTATCTTTAATGTAGGTTGGAAAAGCTCCGAAAGAACGACTTTGTGTCAAGGTATAATGCTCCCGGATAAAATGTTACTCCATTACGCAAGTAAAAACGCACAAGTTGTCGACAAGTTGTGTTCGCACTGCTTGTTCCCAGTTGTTGTAACAAGTTTGGAACAAGCTGTTAACAACTTGTAACAAGCTTGATGGTATTATCAGACTTGTTACAAAGTTGTTCTAACAAGTCTGACACAATCATGATATAACAGGAATGTTAGAAGATTGATCACACAAGGTTGTAACATTATTGTTATATCATCACTGTATTGGACTTGTTGGAACAACCTTGCAACAAGCCTGATGGTATCAACAAGATTGTTACAAGTTATTAACAGCTTGTTCCAAACTTGTTGACAACTTGGGACAAGCAGTGCGAACCCAACTTGTTGACGGCTTGTTGGCAGACTTCCTACAAGATGTGAGATTTTTGCGCGTGTATTTCTAAACCGCAGTTGTTCCTAGGGGACCAGTAAGGGCCATTCCTTTTTGTTCAAGTATTACTGCAGGAGGAAACCAGAAGAAAAAAAAATATAACAAATTGTGAAAATTGACATCTTGTGTTCTTCATGTTCATCTTTCTTGTTTTTTTCTTGAATATCAAGAATAAAAGATGTCAATTTTAGGAAACCAAATTACCTGGAGAAAAGCTCAGAAAGCCCGCTGTGTTTGTATACTTCATATATACTCTTCATATAATCACTCAACTGTATATTTGTTTCAAATTACATGGTTGCTTCTCGTATTCTAGACAGTTGAAATGGGTTGTACGTCGTTGACAAAATTTTTGAAGTTTACCAGATTAATTTTACAGTTTTTAGCCGAGGTACAGTATTTACAATGGTTGTTAATAATTATTTTTCGTTAGTTGTGATTGAGTGACTCGAATATTTACTTAACAAGATATTGTTCTTCGCAATATGCTTTGGAATATATTTCCTTAGTTTGTCGATTGGTGGTGATTTGCAGAAGTATCTATTTTGAAAAAATTCCAATTTTTTCCAACAGATATCAGACGATAACTTTGATGAAAATTACCAAGAAATCATGTTTGAGATTGAAGACTTTTGGCGAACTGGGGAAACGTAAGTATTTTGGTGATTTTGCCTCAGTGGCTATTCATATAAGCCGGGTCGTTTGAATGAACTTTATACTGTTACTAGAATCAAACTAAGCTCATTCAATTTTGAAATATTATTTTGAATGATGCTTGTGATGTTACTCTGAGTGTATATCCACACCGGGCAAGCTTGAAAAATATGCTTGGCTACGGTGGGAATCGAACCTACGACCTTTGGAATACTAGCCCAATGCAGAGTAACATCACAAGCATCATATTCACCTGAGTACATTACACCAAAAAATTCATCATTTTGGGTGTTTATCAAAGTCGTGATAAGAGCTTTATTAATACGAATCATCCTGGTTAACCGGGCCAGCCTGGCTCCATATGAACAGCCCCTCAGTCACATGTGACAAGAGTGCTTCCAGTTTAATGCTACCGAACACTGCTGGTATTCTCCAAATGTTTTGGTTTTCTCTCGTAGTGATACTGGACTAACAAGAGAAGACGCTTCCTCTATAGGGAGAACAGTTAGTACTGATAGAGCTATCCAATGCAAATAAAGTTTAGTACGCGTTTCTCCAGCAGTATATGCATTGGATTGCTATATAAAGGATGGCCCTTACTGAGTTTCTGGACCTCTTTGGAGAGCAGTTCAATCTTGATACTAGTATAGGGACTAACTTGGGTTGTATGATTCATAGGTTGCCATCAACATTTCTTCAGGAGGCCATTGCAACTGAACAAAGCAATCAAGAATTTGTCGCTCTTCATTATTGGTTCGTTTCAGTGTTGTGGCTTATTATGGGGCTGACTATGAAAAGTGTGAAGCCAGTTGGTCTTTTGGGTAGTAAAGTAAGTCGCCCTTACAGCTAATTCAATGAAGGTTTTCCTTCGATGTAAAATCACAAATACAAAACCTCCGTCTCTAACCCCGAAGAGCACAACCTTATTACTAAATGATAATAACTTGTTCCAAAGTTGACAAACTGCTGTATTCATATTGCATATCCATGATTATATGGAGAAAGCGCGGATTGAAAGGGTTCAACTACCTGAAAAATACAAGTAAAACTTCGACGTTTCGAGCGAAGGTAGTTTTTCATAGAGACCTTACGATTTTAGGACGGCGACGGCCAAAACAAACTCCTTCAAATAAATGGTAGTAAAGCCGTAGTTTGTGGTATATTATCAATCGTATGAATTTAATACAGTTTTACTTGGGTTTTATGGTTGGGAAGAGTTCTGCTGAACCCAGTTTGAAGTTGCACTTGTTGTGGCTTGGAATGCAGCCGTTGTATCAAGACGTGAAAATCTGTGGTTAAGCGTTGTAAACAAAGCGAGGACAATGTGTAAATTATTCATATATTGTAATTACTCAATTCTTTTCAATAATCTATTGTATTGGTGGCCGTTGCCGTCGTGTTGCCGTCCTAAAATCGTAAGGTCCCTAATGTCACTACCTATACGCTGGCACAGACTGTTCATGGGTAAATGAACCATGGTCATGCATTCATGTGTAAGAACGATCGTAGTACAAACGGTTGTATTAACAACCATGATTATTGGACGCCCACTGCATGGCATAATCCTGGCTAAAAACCCAGTTGATGGTGTCTTCTTAACGCATTTATTATGACATATTCATCTGGGGGTTTTTTTTTGAAGGAAAAGAAAATGGTTTTTAAGAAGCTAAGTTCTCCGTACGAAACAAAAGATGTGGAAGCCGGGGTTGTAGAGGAAAGAGAAACGGTAAGATTCGTTGTTTTTTAAATCCCAGTTTATTGGTCGGTGACCAGGCGATTCGCAGGGGAAACAATTAAACTACTGGGTCGCTCTATCTGTTTTATTTTAACTGCTGGTTTGTTAGCTCAGCTTTGTCATAAAACCAACTTCTAAATTTTTGGAGGAAGGAAATTTAAGGGTAAAAAGTTCCAAAGTTCCAGTTTATTTTGTAGTTTTTCCACAAATCTGTATCCGCCCTTGTTCAATTGGTTTCCACCGACACATCTCCACCAATGAGCGAACAGGATTTGAGAGAAACGGCTGCTGATTGGTCCACAGCGATATATAAACTTGCAGAACAAGTTGGTGTGAATATCGATCCTTTGAAGGAAAATTACGTTTGTGAATTATGTTCTGTTGGTTTGCATAAACTAGCACAAGAGGTAATGAATTGTTCCAACTGCTGAAGTCAGAGTAACGATTGTGTCTTAAAATTACTCTTTGATATACGAGGAAACAAAAGTTTATTTAAAAAAATGAGTGTCTTTCAGTCTGTAGTAACCTTTTAAATAGCTTTTAATTGAAAACACTGATATATATATATATATATTAGAAACTGTAGGGAGTTTCCTTAATTAAAAAGATTATGAGAGCCCTGGTAGAGCTTAATTAAAGGTGATCTACAGTCCGATCTGCGCATGTGCACAAATGAGCCCACTTTTTATGATACAAACAGTTTAACTATGTTTTGAGTTCATGAAAAGCCTGATTGTTGTTTCTTGATCATTTATTATACTCTAGAAGCTTGAAAATATAAATAGTTGTCGAATAAAGCTCAATATTTTGGACACAAAAATGTAAACAAGGGCTTTGTTTACATACGGACTGTAGATCACCTTTAAGCCTACTAAATGCTTTCATGGTTACAAAAATTTTTGTTACAGCTTTGTCCAGCTATCAATCAAAGGCTTTCAGCAATCATCTAGGGGTCTGCCACTGACCGGTGATCGTGGCTGGATGGAACTATTGCTATGCTGCGAGTGATGCAAAACGCCCATTTTTATCCTTTCATTGTAGGCTTTCCTTACAGTACATGACAAGACAAAACTCAGTCCAAAGGTCTTAGGTATCATTGGACAAAGACTGGCCGAGAATTTGTTTGAATGTAAAGACCCAAGTGAAACTGCTAGGATATTATCTGGAATACCAATGTCTGTGAGTACGTGGTTAAGAAAACAGGTGTGTTGTTATATGATGTTTAGTATGTTGAATTATTAATACGTCGTTTCACCAGAATGTATGGGAAGGGTGCCAATCCATTAAATCCATTCTTTGCCTTACCGAATCCAGTGACAACAGACCTATGCATAATGACGTCACAATGCTTGATGCCTGCAGGAAATGCTGGTCTTAGTAGTCATCGCCCGGGAAAATTTCGATAGTGGCCATTTAATTTTCCCGAGTGATGACTACTAAGACCAGCATTCCTTGTGACGTCATGAGCATAAGGTGTATTGGTTGTTCTTTGACCATCTTGCATGGCAACGTTCCTTTTATAATAATAACAATAATAATCTTTATTTTAAGAGGGCGTTATGTTATTTTTTTCAGGAACGATCTAAACTTCGGAAAAAAGCTGCTTCATTACATGGAGTGAGCGAACTATTGGCAGTCATTCTGAATGGACTATCAGACAACCCTAAGGAACACGAGATTGTCACGAGTATTATTGAAATTTTGAAAACTTTACCGTAGGTAAGCAATCTACATGAAATTTCATACAAGTCGCGATTTATCGTTTCAAGATGGCCTTTTTTGCGTGCGGAGCGGAATCTTTCTTTGTCTTTACTGCGCCCTGGTCTTTTCTAATTTGTTCCACCCGAGAAATCACAAGACAAAGAAAAATTCCGCTACGCGCGTAAAACTCCGCCTAGTGGAAAACCGGCTTGATAGCGTAACCCTAGCTTGGTTGCAGCTCGGAATTTCGAAACCAGTATTTACAATGAAACTGGCAATGAGTAAAGTCGTTACGTCACTCCCTGTTCGAAAAATCGTTTATATGTTTCTGTAAGGAATAGTAAAGTCTGGTTCACACTAACAATTCTGTCGGCGATTTTTCTTCTCCTGGCCAATGTGATCGAATGAATGAGATGCAAAAGACTGAGAATTGTTTACTTCTGAAAAGCGACTCTGTATACCTTTGTGTGCGAGTTTACTCATTTGCATCCGTCAGAAACACAAAATCGTCGACAAAATTGCTAGTGTGAACCAGGCTTAAGGTGGCTCAATACAGTTTTTTTAAAAATGGAAAATTCATGATTGATATGCGTATTTTTTGACAATTATTACTTGTCGATAAACAAAAAGTGCCTTACATAAAACAACATCTAAGGTGTTACGCAACTGCCGTTGCGTAATTTAAAAAAATCATGAATAATCACCTTTTCGTAATTTAAAAAATTTCGGCTCCACAGAATTTTTTTAAATTGTCAAAATAATTGATTGTACTAAGAGAAATCACTTTTGGGGGGTCACCAATGTCGTTTACAAGTTAAGTTACTTTAAAGCCAAAATATCCGCCATCTTGAAACGTCATTGTTGCCGTAGCAACGGCAGTTGCGTAACTTTTGTACAAAAATTCAAACTCTTTAGATGTTGTTTTATATAAGTAAGGTACTTTTTGTTTATCAACAAGTAATAATTGTCCACAAATACGCATCTAAATCGTGAATTTTCCATTTTTTTGAAAAACTGTATTGAGCCACCTTAAAGACGTTCGGTATCTGTAGACTACGGATGTTTTGCGAGTTCTGGGAAACCACAAGGGCCACCACTCCCATCCTTTCTACACCCAAAACAACCACCAACCTCCTGTGGAGGAATTCGATCCTGTGTAATCCATACGACTTTCCATAAATGGCTTCATAGTAACAAACAATTCATAGAATGTTTGCAAAAACACATGGTCATTACTAAGGTCTAGGGAGCTTAAGCAAGCGACGTTATTGTCAAAACGGACGTCGCCTGAATATTGGTATAACAAATTTGGCGAAAATCCCCGTTTATACTACTTCAATTTTTGGTACCCGTACCAAATTTATCCATGCTCGGCCTTTGTAAATAGGTAGTCCGAGCACGGATAAAAATGGTACGGGTACCAAAATTGAGCGTAGTGTAAACGGGCCTTGTGCAAGGAAGCAAAAGAAATCTTAAAAATCTTATGTTTTGTCAGATGTGTTGAATGAAGATTACCACAAACTGACACAGGCACAGCTTTTATTTCAGCCCCCCACCCCCCTCCTCGGCAATCTGACGTATGTCAATCAACACAAAAGTTTATTTATGGACTTTATTGACATAAAATCACGTTAAATTTGAATTAGTTTGAAAAGGAATACATGACCCATGACAAAACAAATCAATTTCTTAATGATTATACTTTTGTGAAATGCGAAACTCCGAAACTGTTGTACACAGCTATTCAGTAGAGAGTTTAAGCTTCGCGTTATACCGGTCAAACCAGAGACGGCAACCGGCAGGCAAAGAAACATTTTACGGTATCAGGCAATAAAGAGTAAATGAACTTGCTGTTTTAAAACTGAAATACATAATTATTCTTTCGACACAAGAGCGAAAATATGAAACGAAAATGTTCAACGCAAAGTTTGTCATTCCCGGAAACGTGATGCTTAAACTTCCTATTCAATGACACTGACTGCATCGTGATGAACAATAAATATATATGGCTCAGCCCTCACAAATATAGTTTCAGTACAATAAAATTGTTAACACCCGCTAGAATATAACCTAGAACATTTATACAGTTAAAAATTTAGTAAATTATTTAATATAAATTTTTTAAATGTGCTATACATAAAGAAAATTGTAGTTGTAATTTCTAGTTACCTCGTAAAGCGGTATGATTTAAACTATAATATATATAGTGTGTACTTAGTCTCTAGGCTGACCGCTAATACAATACTCAATAGTCAATTTAATATTATAATGCTCTTCTAAAAAGCCTGTACGCGTACTATATTACAATATAAATATGTTCATTTATTTATGAGTTTGTATTTGCACAGCTTTTGTCTCGTCCAAAATCGTCTTTACATCTTGCCATGTTAGTTTAACCAGATTTTTAAACAAAGAGCCATTGAAATCGCTTATTTCACTACGGCAAACAACGCATGTATGCAAAGCTGATTTTTCCAACGCTACTTTAAAAGTCTCCCAAGCACAAAGACCGCAAGTCACTCGATGTCTACAAGGTAGCGTTTCAATTTCAGCTCGTTCATCCAGGCAAACGACACATCGATCCGATTCACATATATCACTTCTTCTCTCTCCTCTCTTCCGGTCGATTTGTACAAAACGTTCTATCACAAAAGATCTTTTATTGATGTCTATATTCTTTAATTCTTCGACCAGGCTGTCTAGCGTTGAATGACGTTTGGCATTTCTCGAAAAATATTCGTTGCGAAATTTTGCTGCTAAAACGTAGCAAATTAGCAACACTAAAGAATACAACACATTGCCCATTATGTGCAGTACTAATGTACAAGAAATATAGTTTATTATAAAGTAAAAACTGAATGTCCAAAGCAATCCATGCCAAGATCTAGACTTTTCCATGTCTGCCATAATCGAAAGCTTTCACAGTTTTAACCTCGTGCCAATTACGAGGCTTTTAAGATAATTATATTGCTTCTTTGTTGTTCGCCCTTTTTCGCTTTTGTAATATGTTGCGTGGTCTTTTGTCTTCTGATCAGGTTGAACTCGTTAAATTTTCTCGCGCTATTCTGACTTTCAGACAGGTATAACAGCAGGTTACTAAAGCTGAAACGGATAAGTTTGAAATATTTTTCTTGGCCCTGAATGGCTCAATAAATAAATCTGTTTAACCTGCGGTTCAAATATTTCCTGCGTCAAAATTAAGTAGTGTATGAACTCTACTTAAGTCATTCATTTTATAAAGTATCTGTGACTATATGAAGTTCTCTTTTTCAATTTTTCTTTTTCAATTTTTTTGAACTGAGAATGGAAATAAACTGAACGCGGGGAATTATAGTTAGAAAAATAATTGTTAATGTCCCAATGAAAAGTTTTGAATTATGAAGTTGGCGTGTGTACAGTGTCGCAGGTTAGCTTCAACTGTTAAAGCCGGATACTGATAAAATATTAGGAAATTTTGTCATTTGCTTACAGCCTGATTTTTAGTTTAACTCAACTGATCTTGACGGGTTTACCCGGTCAACCTCTGCGGAGGAGAGAGGGGTTTACCTACTCAATAGTCCCCCCTCGCAAAAACCTCGACACAAAGTGAGTGGCTGTACCTACTCAGCTCTAAAGCCAGTATTTCACTTCAATCGTACCGAAACTCTGTGTGTAGCCCGCATCCAACCTGGGACCGAGGTTGGCCCGCATCATCCAGCCTTTTGGGCTCCTGTGATTACTCCAGTTATAAATTGAGGTCACCAGGCTCTATTTTTTATAGGCCTGATCGCAGGTTACTCCTGTAGTATATATAGCTCAGTGGCAAACAGTAATGAATTAATTTATGTTCGAAGAAAACGGAAGTTGCAAATTTGTAGAAGAAGCCATCGAACCAAAACAAAAATTTGAAAATGTTTTTGGCAGGTAAATCTTTTATTTTGTCGCAATGCGTTGGTAGTAGAGCTATTTTTACCACAGCAATATATCAGCGAATGAGTTTTAGTCAACAGCCCATCTTCACAGCACTTGAAGAGTTAAAAGACATTGCTATAACACCTGATCAACCCGACGAGTACAAGGAAGCTGTAAAGATATATAATCCCTCGTACTCCAACGAACATCCAGCGTTTGTTGCCGTTCCCAATAACGTAAGCGATATTCAGCGGTGTATGCGTGTAGCTCTTGCTTGTGAAGTGCCAGCAGTAGCCATCAAATCGGGAGGGCATAGTTTTGCAGGTTACTCTACCACTGATCAAAATGGCTTTGTTGTTTCCATGAAGAACTTGGCTTCAGTGAAACTTAAGGATGGTGCGGTCACCGTTGGTGCTGGGGCAAACTGGGGAGATGTCTACAAAGCTTTGGAGAACACAAATTATGTTGCAGTGGGTGGTTGTGTACCTGCTGTTGGAATAGGGGGTTATATTCTGGGCGGTGGCTATAGCATGTTGTCCCGTGCTTATGGTGGACTAGCGTGTGATATGGCAGAGGAGTTCACTATGGTAACAGCTGATGGTGACCAAGTGGTGAAGGTGTCAAAGGACAAAAATAAAGATTTGTTTTGGGCTTTGAAAGGTGGGGGTGGTGGGAACTTTGGTGTTTTAGTTGATGTTACATTGAAACTTTCTCCACGGCCTAAGCAATTCATTTGGACGAACATTAGATATGATGGTGCAGAAAGTACTGAACTTGTGTTAAATGAGCTCGGGTCTCAACTTTTGCAACTGCCAAAGGAAATGAATCTGGATTTTGCCATCCATGGCTACTTTGGTAAAAAGACCTTGACACTCGATGCTGTCTACTCGGATCATCATGCCGGCAAAGTTGAAGAGGTTATAAAGAATCTTCATCCTGGCCAGCGCTCTACTAAAACATATGAATCATATCTGAAGTTTGTTAGAGAATACAGTCAACGACATGGATTTGTTCACTACGAGGTTGAACCAATCTATGTGAAAGGTGCAATGATCCAGTCCATTCCACCAGAAATGGCAAAGTATTTTTCAGATTTAGAAATCCCAGCAGAATGTCTCTTGGAATTTGTTCACATGGGTGGGGATATCCAACAATATCCTTCTACGTCCACAGCTTTTCCTTACCGTACAGCTCAATATAGTTTCTACACGTACGGAAGATTTCATAACAGTGCCTCCCGAAGTGAAGTGTATGAGTTTGCTACCTCAACTTACCATGATATTAAAAAATTTGGTTGTACATTGGGTAGCTATGTCAACTACATGGACAGGCATTTGATCAACTGGCCTCAAGAGCTATATGGAGTCAATTACCCAAGGCTATGTGAAATAAAGAAAAAGTGGAACCCACTCGGGAAAGGTCCACTGCATTTTGAACAAGAAATTGGTTCAACATGGGAACCTGAATGACCAACAACCATTAAATTAAAGTTTATTATTCTGGGGTAGAGCTGCTCCCAATTAATCAATTACTTTTCCACAAATGATTAGAGTTAATTTCTTTCCGGATTAAAATTTGCGACAAGATTGTGATTGAAACACTAAATGACAAATTGATTAAGAACATTGTGGGTCAAATATCAATTTCACTCTCACTGGTGCTATAGTCTGATCAGGTTACCAGTGCTGCAAAAATATCTTTAATTTAAAGTTTATTTATTAAAAGAATTTATTACCATTTGCATCCAACGTTGCGGCATGCAGACATAAAATCGCAAAATTTAGTAACGTTTAATTACAATTTACAAACCTGTCAAACCACCATAGGCTTGTCATATTTAAATTAATTATCAACACAATTAATCAATTATTGACGATTAATTCGATTATGAAAATCAACCGATGGGAGCAGCTCTACTCTGGGTATCTTGATGTTAGAGAGGCATCTGTATTAGAGAGATGTCTGTATTTGAGAGATTTTTGTTAGATATGTATATTAGTGAGGTATTTGACTGAGGAACCCACCTTGGTTAGAATTGTCATGCCACCAGTAATTTTCATATGCCAGAATACAAATTGTACACGAAAATACTATAATATTTGTTATAATTAAAGAACAGGTTATATTTTTCGTTAGATTTTACAACTGGCATTAATACTACATGTATATTAATAAAACATTAATTAAACAAACTACAAAGAAAGTTTTTAAACAATTCTCTCGAGTTCCTTGGCATATTCCAACATATGTTGGATTGTGTTTATAGATGGAATTTCTTGCTTAGTGTCCGACTCCTCGTCTTCAAAGATGTAAACATGGTCACTCCCAAGTTTCCAACCACGCTGAAAAGAAATGGGATGGATGTCAGAGAGATGTCTGTTAAAGCGATGTCTGCTTTAGAGAGGTGTCTGCATATATAAGAGAGATGTGGTCATGTATAGGTTATTTTGAGGCAACAAGGGGATATGTGATTTATTCACCGAGGCATGCAGCGCCGAGGTGAATAAACACATATCCCCGAGATGCCTCAAAATAACATACTTATTTTTCACATTGTGAGGTCACTTTAATGAGTCAGAATAGAAATAATTCTTAATGCCATATTGCCTTCGTTATGTTGTTTTTCTCATTTTTTTGTGCTGCAAAGACATTGCAGGTGAATATTAGAGGGGATTATTAAACGGAAATTGATTAGAGGGGAATATTGAATATATTCCCCACTAAGAACAAAGGAAACCGAGCAGGGTAAAAAGTAAGTCTGTATTTTAGAGAGATGTCTGCATTAGAGAGATGTCTGAATAAGAGAGATGTCTGTATTAAAGAGATGTCTGTATTAGAGGGATGTCTGTACAAGAGAGATGTCTGTATTAGAAACTGATGTATGTATTAGAGAGGTGTCTGTATTAGAGTAACCTGCAATCAGGCCTATAAATAAATAAATAGGCCTGATACAAACCTTAACAGTCCATGCCTTACAACCGTATTTCGGTTGTAAATCTGATTGGTCTACGAGACAAAAGATCTGTCATTTGATTGGTTGGTGCTAATTAGATTAAAATATTGTTGATATATTTTATAGTGATCACAACTATAATTAGACTGTTGTCGTTATGTCTGTATTAGAAAAATGTCTATATTAGAGAGATTTTTGTTAGATACATGTATTAGGTTTTTGACTGAGTAACCCACCTTGGTCGCAAAAGTTTTCGTGTCTTTTGCGGAATCTAAATACAACATTCGCTGTGCCTCAACGAATGATATTCTTTGATAGGACTTTTCTAAACATGCTGCGATTTCATCTCTATTGAAGAAAGAGTACAGATTATTTTTTATAGTTATTGTTCAGCACATGGTTTTCTTTATGTCAGTAAAACCCTATACATTTCCTTAACTCACCGTAGTGTATTAATTAGAATATCCATAAAAACATGGTAACTTTTAGCTGGCACATTTCCTCGTGCTAGAAATACCTACGGCAACAGCAAATAGAATGCATTATTTTACTTTCTATATTTTACAATCATCTTCGGTAAATATAAAAAATCATCTATAGTTCAGAAATAAAAATTTGGTTTCAAGCAGGATAAATTTCATCCTTGTATGACTTAGTACATCCTAATCCAATGAATGCTCTCTCCTTGATGAGTAAAATTATTTGGCATTAGACAGAGTAAAACAAGAGTAAAGTAGGGTGCAATGCAACTTAATGGGTTAATTTTTGCAAGCATTAAAATTTCAACTTACTTTATTATAATTTCCTTCCATTAAAAACTAAAATAAAGATATGAAAATAGGAACACAATAGATATATTTAATTGAGAATACACAGTATATTTATGAATGAAGGAATGTTAAAGTATTGTACGCACCCGCTCTAGTTGCACTGGATGTTTAATATATACATTTTCATTGTATTCTGTGGCTGGTAATAATTCCAACTCCTAAGAGGTAAGAAAATTAGTTCGAGTTCTGTGTACAAGACATTTCTTAATTCAAAAAAAGGCTTGCATAACCTACAGTATGAAATTCTGCCAAGCGATTCTGGGCCAATAAGAGAAGAAGGTTTAGGCCCAATGTCTGATACATGTAAGGCGATTCTTGAAGGATTCCTCTATATATTAAAACAATTGAACGTAATAAATATTGTGATAGATCAAGATATGTTTCTGTATATGTTGATGTTGATGTCCTGGACATGTACCCTTACAAAAAAATCCAATTGGAATTTCAATAGGAATATCTATTGGAAATTGGCCAAAATTCACCAAATTTCAATTGAAAACAGTCACAATTGTTATAGGAATTATGATTCCAATTGAAATTCCAATTGGATTTTTTTGTATCAGTATATTCTCAGGACTCAATTGCAAAGCATCTTAGGCTGAAAATTGCATTCCTGAATAAAGAGTATTATTATGTTACTGATTATATGATACTGATTTTATGATTGTATGATTGTATTACCGATAATCTAAATAATATGGTTTAAGTTGGGCCATGTATCGTTCAAACGAAGGAATATCATTTTTCTCAACACTCCACTGAACTCCTATTTCTAATACATCTCCTAGAAAATAGATATTTAACTCCAATTAGTATAAACATATTAAATACAGACACAATTTACATATAGATTGAAGGCCAAAGGAAAGGTTTTTATTCAACAGTGAACTGTGACTTTAAAATTGCATAAAACCAATACTCAGTTTATTCATAATACAAAATTGCCATACATCATGTGGGACCTTGTCAACATCTATCTTATGCTAACAGACACTGGCCTAATGCTTGTGGGACCTTTGCTTAAAGTCATGTTTCTGTATGGTTGCAACGGTTGTAAAAATAGAGTCACAATGGCCAGAAAAATCATTCTGTCTATTTCCAGTGCTAAACTGGGTGGTGAGAAAGATCATAACTCAATCTTTATGACCATTACAATCATATGGAAACCAAGTAACTGAGCATGTGTAATCAATCTGGTATGCTACCACAATCATAACAGAAAAAAATTGAAATAAATAGTAGCATTGGTTTTATGACTAGTAAGTCCATTTTTCTGGCTGCTGTAACTGTCCTTCTGCAAGAGGTCACAAACATACAGCATAAGTCCCACTAATCCAAAAACCCTCAAAAACCTTCCCAGCATGCAATAGGCATTCTGACAGCAACACTTAAACATTGTCAAACTCACTTGCGAGTACCAACTCTTGCGGATCGGGGCCAGACATTGATGTTGGAAGGAATGACAGGCCAGTCAATGCAACCTAATAATGTCGGATGGTTCAATTCATAATGATTTGGTTCAACAATTTGCTCATTGGGCACTTTACAACTTTTATAATACCATACAATATGATGTGGTATGATTCATTATGTTTTAGTGTGTTTGATGGTTTATGTATTCAGTAATTATTCAGGTACGGCAAAATGTGAAGTTTCCAGATAATTTATGATAGAATCGATAGCAAAAATTTTTTTAAAAAATAAATTGACAAGTGACAACAGTCAAAAAACACATTTGACAAAGGGTAACGTTTTGGTCAATAGCACTGTCTTTTTTTCTCACCTTCAAGGAGCTTAATAACTTGCCGCATTTTTCAAGATTTACGGGTTTTTTATTCCAATCTTTAACCAGTGTTTGGTACATAGTTACGACTTCACTGATGTTTCCCGTAGCCATTTTATCTCCCTTCATTTTAAATATACCGTCGGCGCCGTAAGACAGCGGTTTGGCGATACTTTATCTTGTAAAATGTATATGAATCATTATTGACAAACGACAAACGACAAGTTTTTATAGTTTTTGGCCAATTTAGAAGTAATTTCATGTTTAAAATGAATAAGGGATGTTTTTTCTTCTTTCGGACAAAACTAATGTGTTATTTTAATGTGTTTAAAGCTCAAAAAAGGCTTTTCAATTGATGTACCAGCTAGTCCCAGGTGCAGACGTGCTTGCTCGGCCAGTGAAATGAAACACGTTTCACAAATTATGAAACAATTGTGCAATGTATTATTAGGATTAAAGGATTTTAATGCTGATGTCTGGTCGAAAAGACGAAAACGAAACCATTGTTCAGTCAGGATAATGCTAAATTATCAATACGGATAGTACTTGCTATGGAAAACGATATTCTTGACTCCCTCGAGAATCTGGGGTAAGTATATCACTATATCCCTATTTTATATTGTTTGTTCAAACATTGAATTTGTATTTTGTAATGTATGTGAGTAATAACAACGACCTTACTATAATACAGTGTATTACAATCATACAATGTTCCAACAATCAACATGATAACATTCTCCATGCAGCTATGAGATTTTTAGCATATAGTTGCAAAGGTATTTGCTCTTCCATTTTATATGCACCAATCAATTTATACTGTTAAGATCTGTTAACTCCCCCGAGCATGCAAACTTACAAAAGACCGGAGATAGTAGTGATGGAATGGAAGAGTAGGCCTTTAAAGCCTGTTTTCTATTTATAATAATGTTCTCTGTATTACAGATACAATGGTCCACTTATGGACGAAGTTGTATTATTAAAATGTGTAGAAAATGAAGATATTGCATCAGAGTTTATGGAAATATGTAAATGGTTAACAGATGAAATACAAATGTTTTCAGGAATTATAGAAAAAATCACAGGTATGGGCAAAAGAGTATGCTAGCTTTGGTCAAAACTACTTTCAAATTCAAATCACTTTTGAGGTTTCAAGCTACAAAGCCTTTTGTCAGGAGGTAAATAGACACAGTGCCACTAGCTTCCAGAGCCCTTTCTTTGACATGTCACATTGTTTTTCATTTTGTTCCAGTGGTTTAGACACAAACCATCAGCTGTAGAATACTAGCTATATCGAGCTCCCACATTTGAGCTGTGGAAAGTGACTTGTTCTGTAATTTGATGTTATTTGAACAACTGTCTGAAACTCAACCAAATATGTCCTTATTTAGGCACTGATAAAGATGAATTTGCCATTGAAATAAGTGGATTTCTCAGAGAATATAGTGAGTAAAGGTTATAATATGTGTCGTTCCAGAACAGATCCATATCCCCCCCCCTGCCGTTCCAGAGGGTGAGGGGAGGAAAATTTTGTTTCTGATAATAGTAAGTGTATCATAACACCCAGGGGGGGTGTTAACTTTCAATTTCTTCCATGGGGAAGGTATGGATGTTTTCTACTTTATTATGTAACTCCATTTTTTTGCCAGCTGATATTAATTGTCAAGAGGAATATTTAGGCATTAATGGGTTTGCCTGAAACTTGACAATCTGCCTTTGTCTTTTCTAAACCTATTGACCAGCAATCAACTCAAATATATCTACCCTACTATTTTCATATTAATTTGTCAAGGTGTTTTTTTTTCATATTAATCACTTCCCATTTTTATTGATATGCTTTAGGTTGTCCTTACTCAGAACTGTTGGGAGTCACTGGTCTGAATTCTTCTGAAAATAGGTTGCTATTGTTAGGATATTTGACATCAGAATTGCAGGCATGCAGGATTCTTGGCCAGGATGATGATGCTATGGATGTTGATCAAGAAGAGGTGATTACATGGGATTAGAACAGATAATTTAGGGGTCACACATAGAAAATATTCGAATGATTTTCAGTAAAGTGTCAAAAGTATTTGTTTTCTCATTTTACAGGCGAGTCCAGCTTTCCAGCATCTTAGTGCCATCTTATCTGCTTTGGATCTACCTCAACCTACCAAACAAGCTTCTGTTTTTGATCTCCTTTCTGACATTGAAAAGAAGGTAACTGACTGTTACCAATTGCACACTTATTTTTATAATTCAGGTTGAATTTCAAATAATTTAATGTTAGTCATGTGACGTATGTACTCAAAATGTACCTATTTTTATAAATTAAGTTCAAATTTGTATGCTGGTCATACCTTTTGTACATAATGCGTACCTATTTTTATAGATTGATTTCTTAATTATAGTCTGACATTAGTCATGTGACTTCTGTACGCAATGCGTGCCTATTTTTATAATTAAATTATTTTAATAATGGTAAAAAATTAGTCATGTGACTTTTGTACGCAGCGCGTACCTATTTTTATAACTAAATTATTTTAATTAATAACGGTCAAAAATTAGTCACGTGACTTTTGTACGCAGCACGTACCTATTTTTATAACTAAATTATTTTAATTAATAATGGTCAAAAATATTTCATGTGACTTTTGTACGCAGTGCGTGCCTATTTTTATAACTAAATTATTTTAATAATGTTCAAAAATTAGTCATGTGACTTTTGTACGCAGTGCGTGCCTATTTTTGTACCCAATTCCCTAAACGATGGACCACGTGTCTTATATAACTCATCAAAAATGCTTGAGAACGTAGGAGGTTTACAGTATATTAAAATTGTAATGTCTACTATATTGTTAGGTGAACGATGTTTTGCGCAAATGCCCCAGAGGATATCTTGGTGAACCGTTACTTACGAAACGTCTCAGCACGAACCAATGGGTAAAATAGTTTAGATGATAATGAACCACTGCGTCATATGCGTCAGGCCTGTAGTGTTTAGCATAATTAGCATAATAGACCACGAGGAAGTAAGCAAGATGGCGACATAGCATGCAACTCTAATATAAGTTCTGTTAGAGATTATTAAAGAAAGCATAAATAACAATGTTATAGACAAGATTATAAGGCCTATAGAAATTTTTTTTCCTGGCCAGCAGAAAAATTCCAAAAATAAAAATTTCTGTGTAAGTCAAATATAAAACTTGCTGCATATGTAGATTTCAGAGAACGTATGGCGCCGCACATTGTGATCAACTCAATCTCGGCACAAGACAATCTCGTCTTGCGAAATACTTTTGGAATTTTTGAACAATAAGTAAATTATGTGGCATTCCAGTACGTAAGATGAAGAAAATTTCATGTAAAGATTTTTTATCAGAAAGTTCCTGGCAGCGGTACTGCTTGGGCTGCCGGACATTTTCCAGCAGTCTGCGTTTGCGATTCCAATAATTATTTCTAACAATTCACTCTGGTATTTTTTAGGCACAAGTTGAACAAATTAACAGAACATTATCCCGGGAATATTCGCTTCGTAGACAAACCTTGCTGACCCGTCTTGACGTTACCGTGCGATCTTTTCAATGGTCAGAACAAGGAAAGGTAAATCGCCTGATTTTTGCCAGTCTTGGTGGATGGGCAACAAAATTTAAATACGTTTAGACTGAAAGAACTCCTTAAACTGTAGAGTAAAGCCCCGTTTACATGAGACCGGAACGAAGTCAAACCGGGACCATTTCTTTTCGGTCATAGTATTATTTATAATAGATGTTTACATGAGACTGGCACGAAAATAACTCGGACCAATTCAATTATTTGATATGTAAATAAGATGACGTCTAGCCGGGTAAACTTTTTGACAGTACACAGGACCAAAAAAATATTTTTGTATGCCAGATTAGTCAAATCATCGATACAGACTTGAATGCTTTCATCTGAACAGTGAGCTTTTTATGACTTTGGCGTGACTGCTTTGAAAATGTAGACGTCCGGGATTTGTTTCATTTGAATATTAAGCAACATAAAATATCTCAAGAACGAAAAAGATAAAGAGTTGTGAAATGACTTATTTTGCAGTTTAACGAGTTCTTTCTGTATAAACAGACTTGAATTTCATTGCCCATACCCTTTAATGAGAGTCTGAAAGCCGACAACGGTTGACAACAAAATTACTTACGGTAGATTTTTGTATGTGCGTCAAAACATACATTACTAAACTTTATTTGCCTCCTTATAAGGCAAAAAAAAATATGTGGGTTTCCGGTTTCTTCGTATAAAAACTTAGGTAGGGTAGGTGGGTTTTAACTTTTTTTTTTAACTTTTTTTTTAATTTTCCGAACAAGCGGACGCCATTTTGTTTAGTCAGTGCTTCCACTTCCAAAGATAAATTTCCCTAATATTGCCTCAAATTTCAATTTTCCACAAACTTTTTCCTCTAAGTGGAAACACTTACAAGCATGATCCAATAAAAAAGTTTAGGGTCGGGATTTCGACGTCCAAAAGCTAGGTAGGGTCGGGAAACCGGAAACCCACATATTTTTTTTTCCCCTAAAAGTACTCATCGTTCTCTACAAACAGCCTTTAAAGGCACAGTTCAGCCTTTTGAATGATGGTTTTAAGACGCATTACAACCCTTTTAATTGAAAAAAACTAACTATAGGAAAATCAATTCAGCATAATATAAAATCAGTGAACTCAATGTTTTTACATTGAACCAACACAAGAAGTTTCTGTACTTTCTTGACGGTACGTTTTAATTTGTTTCCTGAAGAAAAAGCAAGATGCGATATCCAGTGATTTTCAGCCAATCAGAACATCGCTAGAAGTGCAAGCCCCAGTCTCCATTGCTGATGTTTTGGCTGCTCGGACAGGTAAGGATCTCATCCGGACCTAGATTCAAGTTTTAAGGTATAAGTATTTTAACTCCCTGTTTTTTCGTTCTTTGTAAAATAGATTTGACTAAAGTTACAAAAACGAGCAGCGGAGCTCTGCGAGAGAAAACAAAATGTGCTATAAACAGAATACTGATAGGAAAGGTGAGATGCAACTCAATAGAAGGTTGGAAAAGTATGTAGCTCAGTTGGTTAGAGTGCTACACCGGAATCGCAGGGCCTCATGTTGTAATTCCATGGTAGTGATGACATTTTATGAAAAACAAAATTGTCAAAAATTGTCAGAAGCTATTGGAAACAATTCTGAACTGAAATATTAAGATGTACTTTTTATGTAACATGAGTTATGTAACATGAGTCACGTAACGTGAGTCACATGTATTATGTAGCAATCCTTACTATTGTAATCCAAAATATGAAATTTCTTTGTGTTGGTAGTTTGCCTAACATATAGTCTGTAACTTGATAGACATTGTATGTTTCTCTTTCCTATGGTTCTCAAAGAAATTCAAAAGTAGTCAGGTTGGTGTTACCTCATGTCACTTTGTCGTAACATGAGTCACACATCAATTTATGGCCACTAATCTTATCATGTTATAATCAAATGTTTAATTTTTACTGTGAATCAATAGCTTACCATTATTTGTACTTGCATGAAAAAATGTGACAGAAAAAATATATTAGTTATTACACCAGATCAAAATTACTCTGATAGTTTGGTTCAGAATGTGACACGAGTCACCATGGAATTACCCAACTGCTCCTGGTTAAGTCTACTAATAATTATTGTTTTCGTTTCCTAGGTTCCGTACAGAGGTGGCAAGCCCTCAGCGCAGGGCCCACCACCCGACATGCCACAGTTTTCAAAACGACAAGAACCACCGAGAGATCAAAGAGGTTAGGATTGGAGTACTCAGCGCTAAACATGACAATGCTGCCTGTGATTGGAGTTCCTGTAATATGCAGTTATCTGATTGCAGTTAATTCAAACCCCTCCCCCCCCCCCCCCG